CGTGCGTGTGTGTGTGTGTGTGTGTGTGTGTGTGTGTGTGTGTGTGTGTGTGTGTGTGTGTGTGTGTGTGCGTGCGTGTGCGTGTGTTCATGCATGCGTGCGTGCGTACGTGCGTGTGTGCATGCGTGTGTATAATGGGCACAAACAGCTGACCATCCACAGCTATACCGTACAGCAATAGAGCCGAGCAGAAAATAGCAGTTTTCGCAGAAATATGACCCGTTAACGTGACGCCGGTAATCCCGAGCGGGGTATATTTCATTTTTCTTGCAGGTGTCGTTTTTGTTTTTGTTTTTCTCCTCTACCCTATATCCACGCCACCAGCCACCTACCCTGTATATCTCAACCTAACCGTCTATTCAAACCCTCTCCCCGTGACCTTCTATTATAACTTTTAATATAACAATGTACATTACCCCTCGATCTCATTATCATATACCTTACTTTTACACTCTACCCACCTGTGCCCTCAGTCTAACCGTGAATTGTGTATAATGTATTGTCGGTTGAGGCTGTTGTATGGAGGAGTTACACGTGTTGCGACAGTCCCATAGACCTCTCCACGTTTCACTACACGCAAATCTGTTATATCTACCCAATCAGTGCTGCTGACGGCGACGACGACGACGACAGCGACGACGACGACGGCGACGACGACGACGATGATGATGATGATGATTATGGTGGTTGTGATGATGATGATGATGATGATGATGCTACTGCTACTGCTGCTGCTGCTGCTGATGATGATGATGACGATGACGATGATGATAGTGATGAAGGTGGTGGTGATAATGATGGTGATGATGATGAGGAGGAGAAGGAGGAGGAAGATTAGGAGGATGGAATGGGGGTGATGATGATGAGGAGGAGAAGGAGAAGGAGGAGGAGGATTAGGAGGATGGAATGGGGGTGATGATGATGAGGAGGAGAAGGAGAAGGAGGAGGAGGATTAGGAGGATGGAATGGGGTGATGATGATGAGGAGGAGAAGGAGAAGGAGGAGGAGGAGGAGGAGGAGGAGTTAGGAGGATGGAATGGGGTGATGATGGTGAGGAGGAGAAGGAGGAGGAGGGAGATTAGGAGGATAGAATGGGGGGGGATGATGATGAGAAGAAGAAGGAGGAGGAGGAGGAAGATTAGGAGGATGGAATGGGGGTGATGATGATGAGGAGGAAAAGGAGAAGGAGGAGGAGGAGGAGGATTAGGGTACTCTCTCCTTTATTCGCCCACTCTTCTTCGCCCCTACCGCTGTAATTCCTCCCGTGCTTGCCCCCTGCCATTATCCCTCTCCCGACACTCTGTCTGCTCCTTCCTCCTTCCATGTATTGTTCTGACTCTGCCATACCATTCTTACTACTCCTACCCCTACCCATTTCTTTCCCTCTGCCACTCTACCTCCCCTACCGATTTCTTTCCTTCTATCACTCTACCTCCCCTACCACTTTCTTTCCTTTTTGCCATCCTACATCCAATGGCCCTGTATTTTCTTCTTTCACAGTACCTCACATACCCTTTTTCTCCCTTCTCTCTGTCTGCGGCCCTATTCCTTCCTCTTACGGCGCTTCTTCCCCTTTCCGCCCTCTTCGCGTCGCTCTCCCCATTTCCCCTTCCCAGTCTCATCATTGTCATTAAAGGTGTGATTATGTTCACGACAACACTACGTCGCAGAAGATGAAGATGATGATGATTATGCTGCGTATCCCCTATTCACAGACACGCGTGCCAAGCCTTGCGTGAATAAAATCGCCGCCACGTTGCGTGCACAGATTTTAATTGGCAGCGTCTTCACGCTGTGCGAGCGAAGCAGCGCTGCGAATTAAATGTGTAGGCAAGAAATTTATCTTTCGCGAAAAGAACAATAATAGGGCGTCACGAAGGCCCTCTGGTGTGTTACCGACAGGGTGTGTAGCCACGTGTGTTCGTAGCCTGTTCGTGGATAACACACGGCTGTTAGCTAGTCTACATGTACAGGCCAACTAATGGATGGGTAGAGAAATCTGTGTGTGTGTGTGTGCGTGTGTGTGTGTGTGTGTGTGTGTGTGTGTGTGTGTGTGTGTGTGTGTGTGTGTGCGCGTGTGTGTGTGTGTGTGTGAGTGAGTGGGATGGTAAGTGCGTGCGCGCGCGCGTGTGTGTGAGTGAGTGTGTGGGTAAGTGCGTGCGCGCGCGCGCGTGAGTGAGTGAGTGTGTTGGTAAGTGCGTGCGCGCGTGTGTGTACGGAATGAATATTTCAGCCGAGCTGTCCGGAAATAGAGGTGGGGAAGATCTGTCAAGATCCTGCGGTTTCAATCGGACGATTTATTATATATTTCTGCTGCAACCACCACAATCACCTTACACCTCTCGCCTCACACCCACTAACCACCTTATACTCCACTTTATATTACTCCTCTGACTGTGTTCGCAGGGCTACACGGACGAGCCGATCTCTAAGGTCGTATCGAGCGTTGAGGAGGGCGTCGTCGTTCAACTCGACCGCTGGAACCTACACGTCGACCGCAACCCCGCCGCTCCCCCGCCCTCCTCCTTCGCCGCCGCCGCCGCTCCTCCCCCTCCCTCCGCCTCCGCGGGGGCGGGGGCAGCGGGCAGCGACCCGGGCGACGAGGCGAGCGACAAGCTGCCGTTGGACGTTGTCAACAACTACTTCAGTCTCGGAGCCGACGCGCAGGTGGCGCTGGAGTTCCACGCGTCGCGCGAGGCCAAGCCGGAGAAGTTCAACAGCCGGTTCCGAAACCGCATGTTCTACGCTGGGGTAGGTAGGCAGGTGGAGGAGAGGGCGGGTGAAGAAGGAGGGGTGGTGGAGGGGAGGGGAGAAGGAGGTAGAGAGGATAACGCTGAGTTCTCCGCTGATGCTGATGCTGTTGATGGACTGCTCTCTTCTGACCGTTGATGGTTTTTAGACCCATTCAGCATAATATGTTTACTTGGCATATATTTCTGACATTTAGAACGAGCCACTACCCGTATCCTTATCGTAATTGTATACTATAGATAGAGTATTTATATAAAATTACGAGTTAAGCATTCTGATAATATAAAAAAAAATCCAAAGTTCATCTAGTAGGCCCTACTGTTTTGTTCACTCCAGGCGCAATACGTACCGGTGGTCGTTATATAGTGCCCACCGTAGTTCTTAGTAGATATCTCGCCGTGACGTAGGCGCGCGCGTGATGACGTCAGCGCTTCGTGCGAGGTACGATGTCGCCGATGTCTCGTCACAGCCCCTGGCAGCCGACTCTACGCATTTCGGCGGGACTTGTGCGTCAGAAGGCCACGTAAAACATAAAACGCAAATGTAACGTCAGGTCTTCTCTATTGAAATGCATCCGTTTTCTCCATCGCGTGTGCCGAGTTAGCACCTAGTCTGTCGCAACGTCGCCGCGGCAAATTTCGTCTGCGGGAGCCGAGCGACGCGGGAGCCGTCTAAATAGTGCTTTTCTTTTGAGACGCGCGAGGCGGAATGGCAGAACAAATTCTGCGAGAAAAAAAGATTCTCTTCTGCGTTTAATTCGACGTTGACGCACGCTATAACAGAAGTCCACGTTACGATCACTGTCACGACAAATGCGCGTGTAGCTAGTCTGTCGGCCGTGGGCGGTTAAGCAGCTTAAAGAGATCTTCAGTTTGTTGTAACACGAGCCGGGGTGATTATCGAGGCTTGGTCGGCGCAAGTTGTTAGTGGCGTGTGCCGACGCACTCCTATCACACTCACACGCATGTAAAATCGACCCGTAGAGCCACAGGTTGCGTTTCACACACAAAAAAAGAGTTTAAAAAAGTAACTTTTAATCCAGATAATCCTGGTAACTAACAATACACTTTCAACAATACAGTGTGTATTATTGAACGCCTTCTAACAATACACTGTGTATTGTAGTAGGTACCTACCTAACAACTGTGTATTTAAATTCAATTTCATTTTCAATAAATTCAATAAAATCAATCAAATAATTTCAATAAATTTATTTAAATAAATGTTAATATCAAGTTTACAAATCAAAAAGTAAACTAATTAAAAACAAACAAAAAGTCATGTTTGTTTATTGTGACCGTTTTCGATGGGCGAGATGCGCAGATGACTACTGCGCATGCTGCGCATGCGCCCTTGCAAAACAAGAGGCGCCTACGCGCATGCGCACTTAGGAGCGTCCAGTTTCGGGCGAGCGTCCAAATACTACGGTACAGTCCGATCAATGAGATGTCTTTCAATGGCCGCTTGCCTGCGCTTCGACCGCACTGTCGGCCATTGCTGTCACCACGTGACTCATGACGCGGCAGCGGTGGCGCTGTTGTTGCAGGCTGGCGGGAAGGACTTGTTGAAGCGTAGCTGGAAGTACTTGGCCGAGCATATCAACCTGAAGTGCGACGGCGTCGACATGACCCCGAAAATACAGGAGCTGAAGATACACTGCCTGCTGTTTCTCAATATTCCAAGGCAAGCTTTACTCTGTGCGAGGAGCAACATCGCGTTCGTGAGAAGAAATGAACGTCTACCTTATCTAACTACCTTATCTACCTTCTCCTAACGTTACCTACGTCTAACCTAATTTATAGCTGGTTTGCACGGATCGTGTTAAACTGGTTCATGACAAAACCCAATTGATAAAGAGGAAGAGAATACATATTGTCCTGAAATGAATTCATGCTATTATTTTGGTAGGTACAGTAAGTGTTATCGAAGAATGAAAAAATTAGCATTGTGAACTGGAATGAGCAATAGATGTAAATTATCAGGAGCCTATTAATAATTAAATTACTGATGTGCCCTAGATATTATTGCTGTACAATGAGGTGCATGCTGCCAAGAAGTGTGATGGCTGTAACGTTAGTTGCCGCATCTGACCAGCAGGTGGCGTTGCTTGCAGGTATGCTGGCGGCACGCAGCCATGGGGAAACCCCAGCAGCTCGGCTGCGATGTTCGAAACTCAGCGACATGACGACGGATTCCTCGAAGTGATAGGCTTCTCAACTGCCTCGCTGGTAAGCGCCACCTAGTGTCCACACAGCCTCGCTGGTAAGCGCCACCTAGTGTGTCAACCGCCTTGCTGGTAAGCGCCACCTAGTGTCCACACAGCCTCGCTGGTAAGCGCCACCTAGTGTGTCAACCGCCTCGCTGGTAAGCGCCACCTAGTGTGTCAACCCCTCGCTGGTAAGCGCCACCTAGTGTGTCAACCCCCTCGCTGGTAAGCACCATCTAGTGTCTCAACCACCTCGCTGGTAAGCACCATCTAATGTGTCAACCACCTCGCTGGTAAGCACCATCTAATGTGTCAACCACCTCGCTGGTAAGCACCATCTAATGTGTCAACTGCCTCGCTGGTAAACGCCACCTGGTGTCTCAACTGCCTCGCTTGTAAGCGCCACCTAGTGTCTCAACCACCTCGCTGGTAAGCGCCACCTAGTGTCTCAACTGCCTCGTTGGTAGGCGCCACCTAATGTCTCAACTTCCTCGTTGGTAGGCGCCACCTAATGTCTCACTGATAATTGCTCCCTTGTGCCCCAACCCCCTCACTGATAAGCACTTCCCAGTGTCTCAACCCTCTCTCTCATAACCATCTCTCTAGTGTGTCTACCTCTCTGTTAAGCATCCCTGATTATATTGACTGCCTTGTTTGTAAGCTTTCCTAGCGAATATAAAGTCCAGGCAGTTTATTGCGATTCCCATTTCGAATGCATGTCAAAATCGCTGAAATTTTTTTTTTATCCCGTGCATACATTTTGCTTGTTTTTTCTTCTCCAGGCGGCGCTGCAGGTTGGAGGCCACGGTGAACGCATCGCGCAGTGCCGGGAGGTGCTGCTCGTCACCAACAAAACCATTCCTATGCAGGTGGATGGCGAGCCGTGCAAGCTGGGGCCGTCCACGATCCGCATCACGCTACGTAATCAAGCTAACATGGTGCTAAAACCGAAGGTAGCTGGCACTGGTGGTGGCCACGTGGTATGTTGCATCGCTACGTCTGCTCTTCTGCATACTGCCTGCGGTTGGTTTCTGCATCTGACACACACACACAGCACTCCCTCTATTATTATTGCACATCTCGTCTCTCTCTGGGGAGGTTTCATCGCGTGCCAGCGTGAGATACCGGCCGCGGAGATGGTGATGTATCCTTACCCCTACCCCCCCCACCCTACCCCCACAAGTTTGCTGTGAAGATTTACACCGGGTGAGGTCATTGCATCTACCCTGCACTATTTCTCTGCACTTTTTTTATGATTCCTGGTCGTAGAAATTCCGTTGCCACCGTTTGTGCGTGGTGTTACCCTGTATGCCGAGGAATGCCTCATAGGCATGCGCACTGATACTTTCTACGTTTTTCGGTCATTTCGACACACCGTTTATTATTATTCTCATCTCATTTCGTGCATTAACTACATCGTGAATTTATAGCACTTTGTCTTTTTCCTCACTATGGACTTTTTCTCTCTTTATTAACCAATAGATCTGTTGATCAATTGATCGATTGCCGTTGATGATTGCATGGCAAACCGCTTGGCTCGTGCATAATTATATTATTGAGAAATTGAAACCTCGATTGCTATAGTAACTATATGAGAAAACTTGACTCTGACGCGAAATCTTACTTTGTGATTGTATTGACGATCTAAGGAAATGTCGAGGGACCAGCTCAGTGTGTAAATCGCCCCCGCGCGTCTGCTTGGTCCCGGCGGCTATTTTCTCTTCTCGCGCGAACAGTGCTGCTCCTGGTGGTCGTGACCTGCTGCGCCTGCGCAGTACACAGCCGCCACTTGACTCCAGTCGCGCATAGCTTGGCAGTCCAGGAAGTGACGTAGCAGTGCAATGCACTACATCTACATCGTCAACTGCATGACATTCTACTAAGTTCTTAACTAACCACTAGGCCACGCTGATTTCTCGTTTGCCGTAACCGGACCACGAACTTTAGGCGATCGAGGGCTATTGGAGTTTTTTTCTTCACTCCGTATAAATCTATTCGCTATCTGGTCGCATACGAGTCGCTGTACTGAGTGGGCAGAACATTGAGGGGGAAGTCTTTGCCTTCCTAGCAACCACACCCGGTGGTTTATTACCGGTTGGCCTGCTCCCATTTCGCCTATGGCAAAATTCCCATTTCGCCTACAGCAAAATTCCCATGCAGTTGGCCTACACCCATTTTTCCTACTCCCAATTCGTCTACGCTCAAAATCTACCCCATTCCCATTTCGTCCACGATCGGTTTGTTCACTAAACAATCATTTATAAATAATAATATATGGTTTCGATTGGTATACATAGACTACAGGAACCAGAGGTTACAACTTACATACCTTAGTAACATAGGTACAAATAATGAGAACACAACTTGACAAAAATAGAAAATACAGTAGCATAAAAATGAAACAATGGGAGTAGGCGAAATGAGAATATTGCCGATTCTAAGAGTATAAGAGTAGACGAAATGTGAGTAGGCGAAATAGGACGTGGCGAAATGGGTGTAGGCCAACTGGGATGTTATCGAAGATACCCCCCCCCCCGGTTACCGCAAGCCAGAAGTCGTGTGCGTCTATAGTTATTTTCTGTCGACTCATGCCTCACTTGAGAGTGCAGCTCCGGAAAAAATTTCCCATCCCCCCCCCCCGGTGCCTTTTAGTTTGATTACAGAGATATATATATATCTGACTGTACTCCGTCCTTGTCGAGTCGCCAAGTTACATTTCTGAATGAAAAATTTTTTTTGGAACACTTTTCAACGCTGTGTTTCCAAACCACTCGTTCACGACCCCGGCGCAGTCTAGTAATTAGTAAGCCGAGCCTTCGACCTTTGATACATGTATCGGTTTTTTGCCTCTCGGAATCAAACAGCATTAATTAAGATCGCGTTTAATTACGAGAGAGAATTTCGAGACGTGGTCGATTTCCGCCACGCCTCCGCACCACCAGGTGGCGCTGTCTGCGGGAACTCCGCACCGCTGCACGCATCGCTTCTTACGTCATCATCTTTCTTCCTTTGCAGAGACGGGTGTCCGTACCCATTATCAATGAGTAAGTATCCATGGCAACGGCAGCTGTCGCTGATGAAATTGGACTCGGCGTGCGGTAAAAAACGGGGAAGTGATTCGCGTGCGCCCCGAGAAAGCAATCCTGAATTCGCCACCGAGCCACAAACAGTTGACCTTGAATGAAAGAATTTGTCTGGCGGGAACAAACCTGCCTGCCCGTAATTGGTCGAGAGGAAAAAAGTCGGAGATATATTAAATGGAGGGGAGGGGGCAAAGAGATCTGTCACGACTTCCCTGTGCTGACGGCTGATGATGACGGGCGTGTAGTAATTCTTCTGGGGAAAAAAACAAAAGAACTTCTTTGCGGTTATAGTGACGTCATCAGATCGCGTGTGGGTCGCTAGCTCATGCGTCTTTACCACTGGTCGATCTCTATATATTAACTCATAATATAATAATAATAATAATAAAATAACTCTATGTATAACTCATGTTAGTATGTAGAGATCAGTGGTGTTCACTGTATGCAGCAACGCGACAGACATGTGGAGGTTGCGCTGGCCTGGGGGGAATGCTTCACAATCCGGGTTTAAACCTTCATGAGCTTATGTTCTCTGCTGGATAATTGCGGCTGTTTAACGAGTAATTCCACTAAGCTGTATGTATGCGCGCGCGTGTGTGTGTGTGCGTGTGCGTGCGTGCCCGTGTGCGGTCATATGTATGTTCGATCGGTAGAGACCGGTGTGCGTGCGTGTATGAGCGTGCATGCGTGCGTGCGCATGTGCTTGGGTAAGTGATTGGCGGCAGTCAGGGTGGGGCCGTGCGGCGCGGTCGTGTGGATGGGGGGAGTGAGGCGCGGTCGTGTGGATGGGGGGAGTGAGACGCGGTCGTGTGGGTGGGGTGGAGGGGAGTGAGACGCGGTCGTGTGGGTGGGTGGGGGAGTGAGGCGCGGTCGTGTGGATGGGTGGGGGAGTGAGGCGCGGTCGTGTGAGTGGGTGGGGGAGTGAGGCGCAGTCGTGTGGATGGGTGGGGGAGTG